TACGTTCGGTTCGGTTAGAGATTTTTTCGGTTACGGTCGGTTCGGTTTGGCAAAAATGCCAACCGATCCCACCTCTGTTATGCAATATATTGTCAATTAATATATTATTCGATAGGAAATTTTACACTGAACCAAACCCTATAAATAACTTTCCTTTAAAATCTTAAACAAGTCATTGAAAGTTTAAATATACAGGGTACCCCATAAGGTGTGGCAGATTTTTTCTAACTCTAATTTTTGAAAATCTGCCACAACTTATGGGGCACCCTGTATCATTCGTGATTAGGTCTATATTGTATAGTACATCATATAGAAAGAGTGGAACATTCAGCCAAATATCAAGCAAGTTGCAGCGAAGAATTTTACTTACGGCTATACACAATGCAGAGAACAACAAAATGTTATATGACAAATAGCCACTTAAATTACCTATATCCAGATGCACTTCCAACATGCCACGAAAGTAATAACACAGTCTCTATCATGAGCTATCATCGAACGTGAAAAATTATATGCTATTCATATTTCCTTTCATCTCTCGCATTCCTACTAATGTGTTGTTAAAGTGCTTTGATTTACGAAAAAGTTATCATGGCATATAAAGATCAATTAAACGTTGAAAAATTCAGAATAATATGCTGAGAATCAGATGAATTTATCAGAAAATGTTTAGCTTGTCGTACTCTTTTGTTTGTGATATCGTATTGTGATATATAGTCAAAATCGTTGTATTGCCTGGGATCTTGAATATTCAATATCTCAACACCCAAAGATCATATGTTTGAACCCTTTTGAATTTATGTTTAGCTAGAAGTCCTCTCGATATTCCCAAAATACGAGCTTAAGAATGGTGAATGAAATCGAGCAATTAATTTGCAAGCCAAGACTATTTGACGAGACCCTTAAACAACGGTGGAGTGCACCCTAATTTGTTTAATATAGACCCACACTTATATCCATATATTTACTCACACCACATGTTGCATATTTCTTTGTATTCGACTATCTCACAAGAAGTTCATTTATTTTCAAGAAAAGTCAAAATAAAAAAACAGGTGTTTTTAACTTTTATATCATTTCAGAACTTATAACAATGAACTTACTGTGTTGTCTAAATTCAATTTCATAAGTAATTACTGTTCGAATTAGCTCGAAGTTGGTTGATATTTATTTCAAAATGACTTAGAACACTCGGTACAAACTAGGAGGTCCGTAGTCTTAAGGTCTGCTTTCAGAAAATAGTTCGCAGCTTTACAATGCGACTAAGTAGCATGTTGAAATAGTTTGTTACAGCTACAGCAGGTAACTCGTAGGCGTTGAGTATACTTGCCAGCTCGCCAAATATTTGACGATTGGCAATGAGGGCAGTTCAAGTGCTGAAAAACAGTATCACATTTATGACATGTGATTCGGTAGTCCGATGTACGATCAGCGTTTTTCCAGTTGAGAGTTTCTGAACATTCAGAACAGTTAATGTGTTGATAGCACTTCTTGCAGTTGTGACATGTTACCTTTAAATCTGACTCATGATCTGCGTTTTTCCACACATTAGGTTTCAAGCAATGTGGACAATTTATGTGCTGATATTGTTTCTTACAGCTCCAGTATGTTGTTCTCAAACCTGGTTTCCTATTCGCATCTTTCCAATAATTCAATTCTGAACAATGCGGACAATTGATAGCTTGATAAGTCTTTTCATACTGAGAGCGTTTGTGACGCAAACCAGCTTTATAATGGTCGTTTTTGAAGTATTGAGCTGCTGAGCAATGCGGACAGTTCAGAGAGCGATACACATCTTCACATGAGCTGCAAGTGGTCAACAAACCGCCAGTGTGCTTGTCTGTGTACCAAAATGACGCACGATGACAGTGGGGGCAGTTGAGGTGTTGAAATACGTTATTACAGGATGCACAAGTTACTCTTCTTCCTGCACAATAGTTGTTATTCCTCCATATATTGGATTTGTGACAATGGGGACAGGTTACCTTGTTCAACGTTTTTTTACAATTAAAACATGTATTCTGTCCACCTGGTCTATATGAGGCCGAAAAAATGAGCACAGTTGAGCAATGTGGGCAGGTAATCTTCTTCTCTGATGGTTATAAAATTTATGCAAATTTTTTTTTGATTAAATCATCAATTTATGGAATTAATTTGCCTACCAAAATGGTTCTTCTATTTCCCAGTTTTCAAACAAATACCTTCTACAATATAAGAAAGCTATCAGCGCAATCTTCGTGAAATTGAAATGTGGAAAACGATGACACTGTTGTTAATCTCATAAATTCTTTTACTTGATTTATTTTGGGACATATTTCTTCATCACCATTTAATTAATACTCTAGAATTGCGATAAGTATTTCATACATTCTAATGAGATGTTAGTGATATACAGTCTTTGATCGTGTATGAGAAACGCCTATCACAACTTGTGATGGATTCTAGAAACCGTCTGTCGTGGTCTATGGGCAGTTCCATACAATCGTAAAATACGAGTAAAAAGAAATAAAACATTAATGTATATTTTTATTTACATGCATGGTCTACTTGATATACGTACTTGACGACGACCGAAATGATATTTTTTTATGATAGTTAACTATCTTTATATTTTTCTTTTATGTATTGTATTCAAATAATACCAATCAACAAAAATACAACATATTCAACAATGGCTGATAGTAATATTTTGTTTTTTGAACATAAAAAACATCTTTGATTATTTAAAATGAAACAACGAAGAAAGAAAAAAGAAATTAAATAAGCTATCTGTATACTTTGCTTTGATTTATTTACAAAAATGATCTTGGGCATTCTTGAGCATCATTTACAGAAACATTTGAGAAAAAAAAAACAAACGACTAGATGGTAATAATAAAAAAAAACACTATAGAATGAACGTATAATTAAAACTACGATAGAAAAAAAAATCATGGAAATACTCTTGATAAGAAATTCAATCTAAAACTACCACACAATTGATAAGATCTGGACCAGCCGGCATTTTCACAAATTCGAAGTAGAAATTGCACGACGAGAAAGAAATATAACGTACTACTCGAAGTATTCATTACTAGATATTTGTGAAGTCTAGAAAAGAAAATTTTGGAAGATTTCAAGATAATCTTTTAATCTTACTTTGAATGAATGATAATTGAAAATAATTTTCCGGTAAATAATGAATAATTATCCATGTAAATACAAAAATTAAAAGAATTATGGCATGAACACTAAAAGAATTAGAAATAAAAATTTGAATGAATAAATAAATAGAAACAAATTATTACCGTGATTGAAGAAGATTTTTAATTGTTGATAGTAGAAGAAGTATAATAGCAAATACAGTCAATAGAATATTTACTAGTTTACTTATAAGTCGATGTGTATTTTCTTCTGTTTCAAATGAATGTGCTTGAGTTTGTTCAACTTTTGTAGTCTAGAAAAATTCAATCAATTTCATAAATTAGAAGATTTTCTTTTAAAAAACTTTCTATAGTTTCGTATTACAAAAAAGAAAAGATTAGTTTTTGAAATCAATCATAACTTCGAATTCAATTTAACACTTTCCAAGATGCAACAGTTCATTCAAGAATTCATAAGAAAACATTTTTGTAACGAACTTTAAACGAATCAATATCAACTTTCTAGATATCTCATCTAATCACTGTTCATTGCACTTATTTTCTATATGTAGTAATAGACAAAAGTCTACACTTTATCCAATCTCAATTATCATATGTACTAGAAATCTAAAAATTCCTATGAACGTGCATCACTGAGAATGTAGCTCCAGGGCAAAGGCAACTATAAGGTTTTGACTACAGAACGAAATATAATGTAGAGTCGTAGGGTAAGATTCTCGATTATTAAAGAACTAAAAAAAATTATCCATGATGACAATCAGTTACAGTGTTTTGTCATAATGAACTTTACAAGTCAAAATTTTTTTTCGACTATTCGTTGAAACTATCAGTTTATAATAGCTAGAGACCATTAGCTCTAACATTGTAGTATCCGATCTCAACGAATTCTAATAATAGCTCGGTAAATATTGCTCAAACTTAAAGAAAAATAGTCTCCTTTAGTTTAAACATTGATGCCTATAGGTATCTGAAATGAAAACAGAAATGGAAGAATTGTAATCATATATCATTTTCTTTGTTCTTAAGCAATCGATGTAGACTACTGATCTATATTCTTGATAGAACATGTCAAATAAAATTTAAATTAGAAAAACTAACCCTTGTATCAATTTTATCTAATCTTTCGATTATTTCTGTCCAATATTCATGTAAATTATATAGAAGTTTTTCTTCAAGTTTTCTTGAATCAATTTTTATTGTTGAGATTTCATTTTGATGTAAATCAGTTAGATCAGTTAATTCATTATTTAAACGTTCATTTCGTTCATTTTGAGAATTATTTATTAATATTAATGAATCCATTTGTTTTTGCATTTCAACCATTTTTGCATCATAACGATCGATGATTTTCTGCATAAATTCAATTTTTGCCGTTAATTGATGATGTTCAGTTAATGTCTAATTATATATGTAAAGAAAAAAAAACAAGATTAAACAATTAGAAAGATTATTTATTTACTATAGTATTGCGTTTGGATGTTGTACAACTAGCAAATCGATCATCATTGGAATGATCTGATATTTGATCGATGACTTCAATATTTGAATCATCACTGCAATAATTTGAATTTATAAAAAAAAATTTTTTTTTTCGTTCAATATTTTGTTTTTCTCACTTACGTTGAACGTCGTTTTGCAGAAGGTGATCGATCAACGTCGTGAATAGCAGATACATCCGCTACAATTGAAAAAAACAGTTTAATAGCGAATATTTTGAAGATTCTATGGCATTGATAGAATTTCTAGTATAAATGACATGCGTGCTGCTTTAGTCGTGTCACTAGTTAGTATTCTTTTCGTCACTTTCTTGCTTTTCTTGATTGATAAGTGAAGATTCCTTTTAATCTTTTTATATTCAGACAAGGTTCTTTCTTTTCGATTAAAAGATTCTTATCTAATCCTTAAGACAAATAATGCGTTGTGTCAAGGTAGACACATTCATATATAGATACGTAGACGTCTGAATGTTAGTTATTCATTTCTACACGACATAAAAACAACGAAATATAAAAGAAACATTTATAATGTAGATAGATTGCTTCGATTATTTGTTTCTTCTTTTTTCTTAATAATGATATCATTAGATTTATAGTCTAACTGTAAAATTGTCTTTTTATTTTCCATAGTAATTGTTCTCGATTTCTACTTTTTGCACGTTATACAAAATGAGAGGTGTTGTTTTTTTTGTTGTATTTATCTTTTACTTTTATCCGTATTTATCGAATAGTTGTATCATTTAAAACAAGAACTATTCGAATAATGTAATTCACGAGATTGCAAATCTCCATACCGTCTGTTTTATGTTTTCTTCAGTAAATGTTAATAAAAAGATAACAAATCTTGTCTGAGAGAAATTCAAAATGTAGCTAAATTTCAAATAAAAATCATATATTAACTATGACATGGAGTAGTCATGACTCAATATTTATGCTATTCGACACGTATCTGGTTATCCGTCTAATCACATGCTGACTAAGTTATAAGGCACAGTTGGATACATAGTTAGTTTGTGTTTAGTCAGGGTGTATGAGAAGGTAAAGCAATGGAGGGCAAGAACTCTGCGTCAAACAGACCTTCTATTCAGGGTTACAGTTACTATTAATTGTAAGAAATATATCAGGCTAATGAATCTGTTGCTAGGTAGTACTCTATACCGTAAGGTAGAAATATTCTTCCTTCTTACAACGTTTTCTTTTCTGTACGTCCATTCAATACGCCCAAATCTATCACATATGTCAAGCTTGAAAGTTAAATTTAATTACTCTAGAGTTAAAAATAAATTTACTTGTCTCTGTGTACAAAGTAAATTCTATCCTTATTTTATGTTTTGACACCACCAAAAAGTGCGTAAATCGGAGGAACTTAATATAATAACATTTTTCATTTTTGGTCTCGAATTTTATATTTCAATACCATGGTAAATGACTTATTTGTACATTTGTATATGGAATTCTACTTACAATTTGAATTAATATAAGATTGAGATGTGCCAATTCCATTTGATATTGAACTTGATGGAGATGATCGTTTAGTTTCAAATGCACTACTATTGTGTGAAAATGATAAAAAACTTTGATAATTATTCATAGTTTCAATATTATGATTAGTTGATGTTGATGGAAGATTTAATTGAGCATGATGATTATCAGATTCTGGATAACTTGAAGATATTGTTTGATCATGTGTGACTGGTGTTGATATATTATTTGTTGAACAATTTTTATCACTTCCATTCGGAACTTTATTTTCAAAATTAGGAAAAATATCTTTTGATGATCTATAATGTTGTGGTATATCTCCAGCTTGTATACGTGTTACATCAGATTGATATTTAGTAATTTTTTTTTCTAATTTTTTTTTTGTTTCTTGTAATGTACGTATACGTTGTTCAAATGTTGCAATGATTGTTTTTTGTGAATTTGATTCATTACTAATACTAGGCATAGTTGTAGCACGAAGAAATTCTGAAATACTTTGTTCAACACTATGCTGTGCTAATTGATGAAGATGTTGAGCTTTTTCTAATTTAGCTTCAGCTTTAGCTAAAGCAGTTTGTTTTTTACATTCATATGGATCAAGATCTGGTGTTGATAAATTATTTTTAAGTAATGAATTTGATGGAGGTGAATTATTTGATGGATTTATATCAATATCTTCAGTGAGATTGTTTAACTAAAACATAAAAGAGAAAAGATTAAATGAAAAAACAAAACAAATATGAGTCTTTTTATTTACACTATCTGATAAATGAATGTTTTGTTGTTCAACAACATTAGGTGTTGGAAGATGATGAGTAGTCATTTTTGTTCGATCGGGTAAAGAATTTGAATCAATAATATTCGATGGCAAAACTGTTGAAGCTGTAGAAAGTATTTGATTAAACTTGGTATCATTCATAGTAAATGATTGTGAAGTATGAGAATGATCGAGAGGTAATGATTGATGTGTAGTTGCAATTGGTTGTGGTTCTGGACTTATTCGTGTGTAGCGTGATCGTCTAAATAGAATCATTGATGATTTTAAACACACAAGGATAAAACTAAAAGATGAATTTTGTTTCGAAATTATTCTAATAGCATTGCCTTTAGTTTTATATTTCGCTTAAAGTTAAGATGAGTGTCAGAAATAATAAAAAAAATTGATTTCTTTATTCACATACCTGAATATGAAGGTGTTTTTTAGAAAATGCATTGAGATTGTATGTAATTAATTTTCTTTTTTCCTTCAATAAATTTAAACGAAAGAATTCCTGTTGTTCTTTTTTTTATACTGTTGATTGCATCTGGGATTTAAATCAAGATGAAAATTTTTCTTTCTTCTACAAACTCAAGTTTTTTTCCTTTGATGTAAAGTGACTAATGCAGTTGATTGTTGAAAAAAAAAGGCGTACATCTGTTACAGTCCATAATAAGAATATTCCTGATGACGAAATAAAAGGACGTGAATCAGAAGATGAAAAACAAATGACAACATTGATGATGCGTATATATAAATATACATTAAAACATTTTCTATAGACGAACCTATAGTTTTAAAACTTGCACATAAAATTCGTAGAAATTCATTGAAGCCAAATATATGCAAAGAAGAGAATCGAACATCAAAAAACGTTATTGAAAAATTCGTCATATGTAACATGTAATGCAAAGGTCGTCTGTGAAAAAATGTCCAACTTTATTGGTCCTATTGTCAAATTTTAGATCAATGAAATTTCGTTTCTGTTAAGCACGAAAAATTCAGTTCATATATGGCTTCAGGAGATGTTCTTCAGAACTGTTTGCTCTTGTAAAAAAACTTTATTTTACAAAAATTTCAATCAAAACTAATAAAAATAGAACTTTTGATGAATTAAAGTTTGGTATACTTTTTTGATTCATGTAACTCAACATGATTGAAAAATAGAAATATTTCAATTTGAAAGGAACATTCTTTTCGATGTTTCTTTCTTCTTAGATTCATTTCGGAAAAATATATTTGACATAAAATCTGTAGTTCAGATATAAATCTTTCCAACAAAAAAAAAACGATTTCATTGGTTTTGAATTTGTCAATATAATGTAATAGAGTTTGACATTTTTTCAAAGAAGTTTTCATCGCATGCTATATTTTCTATTGCTATCGTGCTGATTTTTGATAAAGAAAAAATCAAAAAACAAAAGCTCTCAGTTAGATTTCATTATGACTACAAAATCTCAGCATGCAAACTACTCATTAATAGAAAAAACCGTTAGATTTTACTTTATTCTCACCTATTTTGTGCTGTTAAAGATAAAGGATTGTTAGTAATATGAATTTGTTTATTTGTCTGTTCGATATCATTCATAATTATGTGACATTAAGAAACATCTACAATAAAAACAAAAAAAAAAGATGAAAATAATTGTTTGAGATGTTTCTGTTTTCTTTTTACAAATATATCCAAAAAAAAAAAGAAAAAGAAAACGACGCAAATAATAAAATACTTTTAATAGTGCAATATATTTTTTTAAATTGCATTGTGTTCCTGTTTTTTGTCAAATAAAATTTTATTCCATTTTCTAACCGATCTTTATAATTACAAATCTTTTATATAGCATTATTTTCAAATGACTGAACACATATTAATAGATAAGTCGAACATATCATATAACGATTCCATTCGTTTACTTTTTGCCCTTGAAAAAAAATCATAAAAGAGAATTATGGAGTCTACCTACAAACTCATGCATGAAAGCAAATATAAGAATAGACGAAAGAAAAAGAAAAACAAAACAAGAAAAGTAGTTAACTGCTGGCATAATTTCCTTTTGACCATTAGGTGAATTATAAAACAAGGAAAAAAAACAACAAAGAATATTGTCTTTTTTTTTTTTTACTTATCACATTAGATCTAAAAATTAGAAGAAAACAAAGAAAATTTGTTGCTGATTGATAAAATTATTTTTAATATAAAACAAATATATTAATTATTTATATTCAACGAAAGATTTGTTACTAATGTATCTTCATCATTTGAATGATGATTTTGTCTGTCATCTTCACCTCCGATTAGTACAGGTCGAAGTCGTGATGATGGTGGAACTTCATCATCATCATCATCACTGCTCCATGATGTTACACGATGTTCCTCATTATTATTATGATTATTATTTGTTCGCCAAGTAGTTGTATTTGAATTACCAAGACCATCGGCTGGTTGTCGAATAGCTGTTCGATTCGTATCATCTTGTGGAAGAAGAACAGGTGAAGTAACAACAGATGATGATATTGGTTCTTCGCCATCGGCATCTGATCGAGATCTAATAACAACAGAATGATCCGATGGAGAAGAATTTGCAATTATTGATGGAACTGATGAAGCTAAAGATGGTACAACAGGTGCATCGGTATTTGGTGGATTATATTCAATATTTCTAAAACAAGAAGAAGATCTTTGATAGAATATGTTTTTTTCTTCCTTCAAAAAAACAAAAATTCAAAATCGAAACCTTTGTCGATCAAGTTTTAAACCTGCAACACCTTTTTTTGGTGCAGACATTAGATCATATTTAATTCTTCGTCGACGTTGTGTATCATTTAGACGATATTGATGCATATTTTCAAAATCAATAACATAAAGATGACCAACAATAAGTATTTCTAATCGTCTATCACCACGTATAAATGATTGATCAATTTCATCATTTGTTCGTTGATCATACATCCACCAACCATTACGACCTTCATAATACCTTAAAGGAAAGTTTTTTTTTTATTTTTTTCTTCTGTCAACAAAATAAACTAATTATTGTCACATTCTTCGAAGGCTATATCCGTTCATCAATAATTTAATCAAGGAAGTACTCTAACTGAAATCCGCCTTTCGAGCACATATTGGCAAGTGTATCTGGTTTATCGTTTTGATCGGAAACAATAAAAAAAAAACAATGTCAACAATTTCCTCGTTCGATTAGGTTGACGTTCTTTTTCTCGAATGTCAAAACATAAAATTAGGATAAACTATATTGTGTGCACAAAGACGAGTGTGAATTATGACTCTTCAAAGGGCGCTGAGTACTACCACTTCGCAATGGAGATTTAGAAGATTAGTTATGCCAACAAATTTGTGTTTTTTTTTAATACTTGTATGATTAAATTATCATATAGAGAAGAAAATGTCATAACTAAAGTATGATTTTATTTGAGATTAGAAGACACAGAGCTCACAAGAAGATTTCACTAAGGCTAGAAAAAAATTAAAAACGGTACATCTCTATGACTGTTTGAAGTTGAGTTTTGACTATAGCACTGAATATTCGACATATTTGAACATGCAAAAGTTTCACCGAAAAAGAATGTTTTTTTTTTGTTAAGATAATTAGCTTTCATGTAAACTCAATTTTTGCAACATGTCTATGGCAAACGACATTTTTTTAAAGGAAATTCAATGTCTCAAGAAAGAAACATTCTTTTTCAATTGAAATTTTTCGAATACTCTAATTTTTATTAAATTCATTTAAGGACAAAAGTTCCGGTAGAAAACTTACTACAACAATCATAAGTTGACTCTAAAAAGACCATCAAAATGAAACATTTTAGGATTTTCTAAACCTCTCCGAAACTTTCTTGTGAGCTCAATATGAGTTCAAACGACATTCTACAGATTCATGACGTATACTTAGAGCATCATAAATAAAGTTGCTATACCTATTAAACTTACAACGTTAAGCAACGTATCAAATCGATAGTTCTTCTATAAACATGTAGTAATGACTTGTACAAGCCTATTACAAACATAAAGACGCTTGAATAATATTAATCAAAAAAGAAAATATTATGTATGCGTGCTCATCGATTTGAATGGTGATTCTTTCTAATCTTCATCTTGAATATTCTAAACTGATGAATAATAAATATTCGTATGTGAATATTTTTTTTTTTACTCCATTTAGAATAGACTTAAGTATATGACAAAAGAATGATTGTCTTACCATACATGACGAAGTGTAGATGTTATTGATGAGAGTGATTCATCATCACGTAATTCTAATGCTAATACATTAGGTTTATCAATTAACTCACGTGGAAATGGTTTTCTAAGAATAGAAAAAATTTTCATAAGAAAAAAAAGTATTTCTTTTTTTTATTTTGTTATAAATCATACCGGCAAAGAGCACAATTATGACTAACATTAGCTATACCTTTGACACATAGAAAACAAAAGGAATGTCCACAAGGTAATTTAACTGGATTAATAAATGGTTGTAAGCATATACTACATTCAAGTGAACGAAGTGAATTCACATTCATAATTGATATTCTGATATATTTTTTTTTTCTATTGGCATATGTTTGATTGATTGTATTATAAAAAAAAAATTTAACGTTCTGTTGTTTTTTATTGATCAATGTTTGAACAAATAGGAAAATAGGTTCTATACAGTGACATCTACGAATAAACTTGATATACATAAATAAAAATTAATTTAAAAGACGAAAAAAGAAATTTCCAAAGAATTAATTTTAATTCTATTAATTCTCATTATAAAAATTTTATTTAAAAAAATATAATAGATTTAAATCCATAGTAATATTCTTATTAATGGCAATGCTTTTTAATGAAATCAAATTGATTTGTTCGTTTGAATGATGTATCTACCTCAACAATCATTTCAATTATCAGCTCAGTTTGGTCCATCTTTAATAAATAGTTATGAGGAGCCACATCATTATAATATAGAACAGAACAATTCAGAAGGCATGTATCATACCATTTTATATAGAATTTATTTATATTTTAATATTCAGCACCACCACTTTTACGAAGTCCAATTCCACCAGATCCTGGCTATGGAAAGGATATTCGTGTGCCTAGGTATCGATTTCTAATAAAAGCTTAATATACATAATCAAAGGTTTTTTTTTTCCTTCATCTAGAAATGCATACGATTTTCGTCGTCCCTTACGTCTTCATGGTTCAGATGCTAAAACAATTTATAAGCGAGCAACTGCTAGTACTGGTGCACCATTTTATCTTGATGTTCATAGTTCAA